AAAAGTTAAATATCACACTTTGAAAATGTACATTAGGGTAAAAGCTGGATAGTTGCCCTACTTTTTGAAAATCTCCGATTACATAAAAATTAAGTATCTACTTACAATATGCCCCGTGTATAGTAAAACATTGAACTTTCATTGAGACCTATTTCTTTAAACACAATCAATAGTTAGTTAGTTTTTCAGTAAATTCTGTTTTATTTGACCGCTACAAAAGGAGATAGTTGCCCTCTGTGGCGGATAGTTTCCTTATGTTAAAATGCTTTGGGGGATACTTGCCTCATGCAGGGATAGAAGACTCATTATGAAACTGCTGCAATTATTTTTATTAAAACAAACTTATGTAAATTTAATCAACCATTATTAATGATTAACATCAATTTATTAAGTAGGTACTAATCGAAATCAACACAACTTTCAAAATACAAATAAAATCTCCAAAATTTAAGTTATATATAGTAATTAACTTTAAAGATTAAAACAATATGTGATGCTCTTGTTATTAAAAAAAAAATATACTCCACTTCACAGAAAGATAGATAAGGAGAACTTGAAAAGTGATAGCTTCCGTTGTGCACTTGGCCGCAACCTCTTCGCAGCCAGGTGTAAGCAGGTCATATTTTGTTACATTTTTACGTTCATGGCGTATATTCATTATTTACATATTAAATTAAAGCTATTTTTTTTCTGTGTATGATAAAATACCTCTGCCTATGTAAAAGTGGCCGCAAAGAAAATAAAAGATGGAAAGAATATTATATATCTTTTGTCAGACAATAACAACGGTTACCATGGCAACAAACAGTAATAGTTGTAATTGATATATTAAGTTGATTGGCAGTTACGAGTTAGGTAGCACAGAGGTAGGAGACGTCACAAAGGCTAAGAACGGATGTCGGTCAGTAGTGCCGGGCAATCCAGACGGGCTCGAAGCCAAGAATCGCTCATCGAGGTGGCCCACCTTGGTGGGCGGTGTGCTATGCGGGTTGCTCCTGGTACTTCTCTGGTAGCAGAGTGGACCGTGGAGCAACCACTACGTTGTTGTGGCTTGCTTCGGCAGACCTGCCACCGGGGCGTCGTGGTTAAATGCGTTAGCGATCCTGCGACGCCCCATTAAGACGGCTTAGGTTCCGTTGGGTTTTAGTGGGTAGTACTGGCTTTGCCGATGAGTCCCACACTTTGTGTCTAAATGCATTTCAAAACGTTAAAAAAGGGCTATCGTAATGAAAGTCCTATGGTTTTGCTGCTAGATACATAGAGCTAGTTATTCTGATTACATATAAATCAACTAAGCGGGCAAAGCCGGGCAAAGAAGATAAAATTTAAAATATTTTACAATTATATGGTCTAAATTAATTAATATGTTTTGATGTCCGAAAAATATTATTACTAATATATAAATGTAACGTTTTCCTTTTCGACTTTGATTGGTTCCTCTAAATTGTAGCACATCAATTAATAAGTTTCAGTGCTTTATGAATTTTATAATATCATGTGTTCAGCCCTTTTTAACGTCCCACTGCTGGGCACGGGCCTCCCTTCAATACGAGGGGGATCAGGCCATAGTCCACCAAGCTGGTCAAGTGCGGGTTGGCAGACTTCACTTTATAATATCTTGGGGTTTTGCAAATTAAATCAACAATTATTTTTCCTACAAAAAACCCTATAATGAATATTCCTTTTCCTTATTGGTTTCTGACAGGTTTAAGTAAAGAGGGAATTATTTGAGTAGGTTCTTTTCAAAACTTGACTATTCCACTTTTTGTGTTTTTTCACAATCGGAAAAAATAGTTATGTAGGTATGCAGCTATGTTTTTAACTCGAAATTTTCATGCATTATTGTAGACGACAATATTAGTCATTGCTTCGTACAGGATTCAAAAATTTAGCAATAATGTGTTTTGAATAAATCCAAAATTTGAAATGGAATAATCTAGTTTTGACGCGGCTGATTGGAATACTCAAGTTTTGTTATGTGCTCTAGAGGAATAATAATTTTTTTATTCAAACCACTGTGTATTAATCTTGTTTTGCTGAAACTAATTAGGTATCAAAAATCTCATTTTTCATAAAGGATTCTTGGTATCTATTATTTCGTTGCAATTTAGGTTAAAATAGTTAATAACTTCTGGATTAGTCATATTTTGTACCAAAAATGTGTATTTGAAATGGGTAATGTCATTTTGACGTGGAATAATCTATTTTTGACGAAATTATGCCTTTAAATCTTTTTTTTATGGTGTAAATTTGAATGTTACCAAACAAAAATAAGTAAAAAAAAATAAGTTTCATCAAAAGTGGAATAGTCAAGTTTTGAAAAGAAGCTCCTTATTTATGGAGTGATATATTTGTGTATGTATCTCGATATCTTTGTCGATTGTGAACGATTTTTTTAATGATTAGGTTATCAGGCAGAGAGCAACATTAATATTATTGATAAAAATAATATTGTTGGTTGAGTTAAATATGTAAGATTATGATGTGGAAGTGAATTTGTTTTTCAAATACGAAATATATCTTACATTAACATTGTTAGGGCTCAGGCAAGATGTCATTCCACATTCCATGAATTAATTCATTCCATTAATTAATGAATATTATAATATACTCATGTATTTTTTTATTTGTATTTAACTTGGTATTAATTTGAATGATACTTGTAGTAACAACTAAACGGGAATCGAACTGACGAATGGTCGCAAAGTAGATAGTGACACAGAAGCCCCATTACATATAATAATGTGGCTTCTGTGTCACTGTCTACTTTGCGACCATTCGTCAGTTCGATAGTTATAGAGAGTTGATACTTACTTCTGATAATACATTGTTGATTCCATAATCCGATGCAATGATTGCTTGGCTCTTAAAAGTACTGTTTGAAAATTCTTCTTCCATTAACATTTCTTCAAATCGTCCTGGCACGAGATAGAATAAGTCACGGACTGATTTATATATTTTCTGTTCAAGATTATTTTCATTATAAACTGGTATACTTGAAAAGTCAAAAAATTTGGTGTCAAAGTCGGTATGAAAATCTTCACACGCTGAGTTAAAATTGACATATTGGTTTTTTTGGCAACATTTTCGTATACATGTTTTTACAGCACAAACGGTGTTGATTTGTTCACCTTCTAACACTAAACTATTATAAACAGGGCTACCAGAAGTAAATGAAATGACATATAAGATAAATAAAATAATCCCTATTAATGTTCTCATTGTTACAACAAACATGATTGCCTGTGACCGTTACGAGTGGATTTTAACTAATAACGTTTGCGGTTATGCGAGTGCTAATCACACATTTGTTATAGGGCCATTTTGTTCAAAAGCAACGGGTAAGTTGCTGTATAGGGTAAATATATTGTAAAATAATGAAACACTTTTCCTGTTATGATCGTTATATTGACAGTAATTAATAAAATTTATATACACAACAGCAAAATCATACCTCCCGCCCAAACGTCAAATAGTCCAGTCATTATAGTAAGTTCACCTCGGAATTCGAGATACCCAGCTGTAAGTCTGTAAATAGTTGTATATTGACACCCTAAAAGTTGTCTCAAAACTTACATATGGTAGAGTGTAAGCAACTATTAAATTTCAAGGTCAAAGGTCACAAAAATCGGTTTTTTGCGCATTTTTTGGAAATATCTCATTTCCTATGGGTTTTTTGCTATTTGTATTTATTATCAATATTGTAGAATATAAAATTCTCTACAAATTTTGCCTAAAAAATTTTTTTATACGGTGAACCGTTTTCGAGATAGAGGGCGGAGAGCGCGCGGTCACCGCATCACTTCAGGTCAACCGGTGCCTCCGGTCGAAAACGCGCCATATATAGTTGATGAACTATCAATAAATCAATGATCATAAATATTTGTCAATTATTATTAACTATTATATTATATTTTATCATTTTTTTCCTAACTTATCCACTTTTTATTCAGTATTAATTTATTTAACAACACTTACCTGCCCATGTAATTGCAGAATTGTTAATGAAAATATAAGAATTATATTTGAATTTTAACCTAATTAATATTAATAACTTCTTACACGATGAAAAAAAAAACAAATAAATTATGAATTAATCTTTTTATTAAAAAATATCATTGAATAATACACATACTTTATTACATAATAAAGTATGTGTATTGCGAAAAAGTTTATCCTTGTCGTAGTTTGATCGCGGGCGAAGCCGCGGGTTCTGCTAGTATGATCATAATATGAATAAAATTAAACTTAATAAAATTAAACTTATACAAGAACTTTTTAATCATGAATTTAATTTAAAAGCACCAGTGTAGTCAATCCAAATGAAGCAAAGTGAATCATGAGGCGGAATAATGAGCTAACTAGCATACATCTATAATGTAACTTAATAGTGATTTTTAATCTGACCAAACTATTATCTACTATCCGATAGGAGGTCTACAGTGTGAGGATTTTAAAGGAATAATCGTGGATACTGCGTTCCACACTTCGTCACAAATCCGTAATTGGTATATTTTTCTACTTAAATTTGAGATTATGACAATACAAAAATAATATTTTGCGTTAAGAATTTACCTACTAACTATACATATGTACATACAAAAATATTTTATATATTTATTAAATTACACAGAAATTTCTCTTCATTCACTTCTGACAATACTTTCAATGAATTATTTGAATTACATTTATGTACGAGCTATTAAATGTTATTTAGCTACAATGGACCATAACTGGTCGACGTAGCTAGGGCCGACCTCGGCACCACACCCAAAAATAAATAATAAATGTTATTTAGTATATAACCAGCTCAACAACTCGAGTTTTTTAAATGTTTTTTTTTCCGTTAATATGAACTAAGTAGACTCAAGACCAGGTACTCCATAATATTTCGTTTATACACTCCTTTCATGTACAAATTACAAAAGGAAACTCGTAAAAATATTCATTAAAAATATTTTTAAGTAAGCCATGTTTACGCTATTCTCTATTATAATTTAGGAGTATCTGATCGATGATAATGATCGCTTTGATTTTAGTCCCATGGGATGAGTGGAAATTTGCAACGGAGTTTCTTGACTAAGATTTGACTCCAGAGTACTGGAGCTCGTGTGAGATTTGCTCAAATGTTCGTCTATGTATCTGTAAACAAAAATAAAATGTCCATGTATTAAATAGATTTTAAAGCATTCTATATAAGTACTTAGTACATTTTTTGGGTATTCTGAAGCGTAAAATAGGCACGAAAGTGCTTTAAAATTTCATCGATATCGACCTAACTGTTCTCTTCCGTCGTTGATGAAGACGTTTTGTGATCCAAAATCTGGCAAAACATATCTAAAGAACAATTTCTTTTTTTTATTTAATTGTGATATTTGCCAAAAGAAGTTTGTTTTCAACCGCGCATAAAGGTTACACGCACCCAGTTTTTTTTTAATTTCTTGCCGACTTTTCAAATCTCACAGTGACATCCAGTGAAGGTAATAAATTCCTGAGGGATTACCCCACTCTTTTGACAAAAAAAATACATATTTGTGACATTAACACAGCATCATCTAGGTCCATGTTGAACTACGAAGGCTTGTTATAGATACCAGGTAGTTGATACACTACACATATATAATTTTTAAATACATACGTATTATAAACACCTATGACTGGAGTACAAACATTCGTGTTCATCACAACAATGAATGCACCCATCGGGATTCGAACCCGCGATCGCTGGCACAGCAAATAGAGTCACTACACACTGAGCCAAACCTGTTGTCAAAAAAAGTTAACATGAAGTGTAAAATATTTAAGTACCTGTTACGTAGTTTCATGTAAATTTTCTTTTTGCATACGAAGATCAGAAATATTGCCAAACCAAGAAGAAGGTTGTACATGTCGGTAAATTTCCACACATTCAGATCAGGTGAAAAGAAGCTCACCACCTCTAACACCCAGTTGATGCCCATGATTAGGGAGAGTTTTAGGTATATCATAAGCCTGTGAAATAATATTATTTGTAATATTATAAAGATGAAGAGTTTGTTTGTTTGGTTGAACAATGAACGCGCTAAGCTCAAGAACTACTAATCCGATTTGAAAAAATCTTTTTGCATTAAATAGCCCGTTAACTGAGGAAAGCTAAAGGCTATATATTATCCCGGAAAATGTACGGTTCCCGTGGGATAGATTTGTTTTTGTCTAGAGACGAATCCGAAGCGAAGCGAGGGTGAGTTATAATGAAAACACTCCAGGTAGGTACTATGTGGTTGTGGAGTAAATAGAAAAACATAAGGGTGGAGACGGGCATAGTTAAGCATCCGAAAAATATATTTATTGACATAAAAACATTACTTTTAATATTATATTATTATGTATTATTATAGTTTTAAGTTTTTACTTCTGTCAGCAGTCATGATTGCTTTTTTTTAATTTGATCGTACCTGTTTCTCTGACTGCGATGAGCTGCTGGGTTGCCAGCAGCGTCTGAATTTACTGCAGCCGTACCTCGACTAAGACGCCAAATGTTAAATGCGGTCATAAGGAAGAAGAACCAGTTGCACAAGATCAGTATCAACATAGGAATGTATAGATATACTAATTTTTGGCCACCTAAAATGGAAGGGACAGGAAAATATTAATTTAACGTTTAATAAACTATATATATATATATATATATATATATATATATATATATATATATATATATATTTATGTATATTATAATTTTAATACTTTCAAAATATGTATGTATAATGTGTATGTGTTCACACTACAAGAAGAACGAATTTGAAATTATTTAGCACAGCAGGTTTTCGTAATGCTTATTAAAATAAGCTTATTAATATATACTTTAAAAAATGCTTATTAATCCTTATATTATTAGACGATGAACAGTTTGAATGGATGGTTCACAGAAAACAAAAATATTGGACGCATTGTTTGTTTATACCGTATCAACTACATGAATTCGAAGTTGTATTTTACTTAGATGTAGAAAACGTATAACGTATATTAGCATTACCTTCAAGAAAACACCCTGCCGCCGGTATTTGGGGTGTAACGAACCATGGCATATGTGACAAGTCCAAATTGTTGATGATTACGAGCATTGCAGCCATTAGTAATGGAAATCCCCATGCATAGATGCAGTACATAAAGAATTTGAATTTTTCTCCTCGTCTATGAATCGGACGAGCTTTCGCGTAGCCCCTAAAAGGAAAAATTGTTTATAATATTTATTTAAAAGCTTAGACTAAATAATTCTATAGATGAAGTCCGACAAAAAAAAATCTAAGTCATAAATAGTAGCGTATTTTGCTGTTTATGCTACATTCACGATTTTGCCGTAGAAATTGCGTACATTCATCAAAGAATAAGGAAAATTTTATTAGTATTAATCGGTAAGAGAGACAGCTTATGCTAAAATAGATAAGCTAAGATTATTCTTAGCTTATCTATTATTATATATTTTATTTATTATAAAAAATCCGTCAGATATCTACTTTAATTTACTCATATTCACATATTTAATTATCAGAACAATAAATTATCTATAAATATTTGTATACATATTATATATTTTAAATCATTATTGTTTGGCTTCCATGTTTAGTTCTACGGCACTCTATCTCAAAGATGATGATAATATAATATAAGTGTAGGTTTGTTGATCCTTCACACTGACGCGGCTGGATGGATTTGGATGACATTTAGTACGCATAATAGAGGCTATGACTTCGGACGGACCCGAATGAATCGAGGGTATGTCGCTACATAATAATACGAACCTATCTAGGTTAATATTATAAAGCCGAAGAGTTTGTTTGTTTGTTTGTTTGTTTGCGATAATCTTAGCAAGAAAAAGGTACGATTCCCGCGGGATAGGTTTGTTTTTGTCTAGGGACGAACTCGAAGCGTGAGTCGCTAGTAATAATTAAAAATAAATAAGTCAATTAGCTCAAAATATTAGGTTACATAAAAGTGCTTACCTGAATGTCCACCAAATATCATATGACATAACGTTCATCCAGCAAAAAGTAGCCAAGAAGAAGAAATACGTTATAGCCGCTGAAACAGAGCGAAAAATAAATATTCTGTTAAAATCAATTTATATACATACAAGTAGAACCCGTGGCTTCGCTCGCGCTAAAACTACAAAAATTTCATACAACTTTCATCTTCTATTTTACCCTGTTATAGGGTGAATTTCCAAAACTGCCAAAACATGTATTTATTTATTTTATTGAAGAGCATTAATATCAAGTTTTAAGTAATTCTGATTATAAATATTTGTTTGGATTGTATTATAACGTGATTTCCCGTGGAAATTAGGTAAAAAGTAGCGTATGTCACTCTCCAGCCCTTCAACTATCTCCACACAAAAAATGACGCCAATCCGTCTCTCCGTTTCGACGTAAAAGAAGGACAAACAAACAAAGAAACACACTTTCACATTTATAATATTAGTATGGATAAACATAGTTTTTTTAAACTACTATAGAATATAATATCAATCAATACATTTGTGAATTAATAGATAAGTACTACTAGTTACAATAATAATATAGATTTTTAAGTAAAGTTGTATGGTGTAGGTAAACTTCGTTACTTTTCGGGGGAAGCCCCCTAAAGTTTCAAATAGTTCAATTCAGGACTTATTATTATTATTATTTAATTATTCTTTTAAAAAATAATAGTGCTTGATTATTTCGGAAGGCTTGTTTTAATTTTACTTTTATACTCAAATAAGCATGTTATACGTACAGGGTACATAATGTCGCTTCTTTGATATTAGGTACTATTTACTATTCTTAGAAAAACAGATGTATTTTCTTCTACACATAATTATAATAAAATTGTAACTGAGTCGAATCTGTACTTTAAATATTTTTTGGAAAATCTTATTGAAATAGTCATCATTTACGATACAAAGACCGAATCTAGTTTTTAGAATATTTGTCTGTCTGTCTTTCTGTTTGTGACCGCATCACGAGAAAACCACTGGACAGATTTTGATGTGGTATGATGATAGCTGGCTCTCCGGGTCAACATATAGGATACTTTTTACTGCAGGAAAATATTTCATCTCTGATAAATCTATACTAAACCTTAAAATGAAACTAGGGACGAACCCGAGTAGAGCAAGGGTGAGTCACTAGTCCTATATACATATCTTTGTTAGCTTTTTTAACCTAGACGGCAGTGTCAAGGTAGAAATAAATTAAAATGTCAAGAGGTATCTTGCCTAATAACGTCAATTTAAATCTATTTTTATCTTATTGCAAAGTATACATACTCATGCTGAGACATCCATAATAGTCAAATTCTGCAAGTTGCAGGGAAACTAAGAAAATGAAAGCGCCCATAAGGCTTAGTACGTAGGCCATCAATACTAAGCCTACGAGGTTCCGTAGCTCCGGCAATAGAACGTAAACTAGTAATACGAGAAATAAGAAAAATGTTGATACCAACAGCGCTGAAAAAGAAAAGGTTATTTTAATGTATAGAAGGTAAACAGTTATACCTGTAAAAACCGTGCTATTATTTCGAATATCTAGATCGGTGAAGGGCGTGGGCCGCGAGAATTATTTCCAGGGGGTGCATCTGCTTCAGCACATTAGACTACGAGCTAATGTTTAAATGATTAACGTAATAATTTTTATTATTATCTTACTTATCATTTTTTTCGCAGATATCTGAATTCAAACGGGTATTTTACTAATACAACTTTATTTCTTTAATTTTTTCTATATATTTTTCTTCGTAGCAAATGGGTGCACCATGCCAGTGTACCCCTTGCACCCCCTCCCGGCATTCGTAGTGAAGGGTATGTTTCCTTGGCTATATTATTTATTAAAAGAGGAGACCTCGATTAATTTTCTCCTTTGGTATATTTCCGGTATCGCACGTCGGAAAACAACTAACTTTCTAGATAAAATGAATATTAAAATAAATGACAAATTTAATATATTATTATAAGGAACCCTCGTCAACTATTAGTTTCTTGAAGATTATTATTGATATTTTTTAAATTAATAATTAATTTACATCTATAAAAAGCGTACCTAAATAAACTTATCGTATCAGCCGTCTGTATACAGAGGTTTCCTCAAAGGAAGTTTACATAATACATGGTTAGATTTACATAATATGAAATATGTTTAAAGAATCCAGCCGATTTTTAAAAGAACTACAATTTGCATATTTACATATACTAGATTATGATATTATCTTTTGAATAACAAACAATTATGTAATAAAATAATTTATCTTGTTATATTTTATTATAAAATTTCTGAAAATCTTTAAAATAAAAGCTATGTGAAAGTTATTTAGATACACTACACCCCGATGGTAATTTAATAGAGTCGATGAAATAAAATGTACTAACATTAGACAAAATATTAAATTATATTTCTTAATAAAACTGCTATTTTTTCAGTATTAAATAGACGGCAAACATTTAAAACGAATGACTGACACAATAAATTGTACGTGAGCGTTTATTTACAGTATACACGTACTAAATGGTTATTAAAAACTCTATTAGAATTTAAAAAGTCAAATTTATTTTCTTAAGAGCACAATTAATGTAAAGCTCAAATGAGGCTGAATTATCTAATAGATAAATAAGAAGATTACCTGCAGTGAAGTAAGGATTTACTTTTGGCATTCCATCATCTGTAGTGACAGACCAAAACTTAGGAGTAGTTGTGATATTGTCATTAAAGTAGTCAACACAAAAATAATTTACTGGGCGCCATCTCTCATACCAGTTTGGTAATTCTATGTACAAAATTCCTTTCTGAAAAGTAAAATATTACACCTTGAAAATATACATTATAATTTCCCATTATTATTATCTATATCATTCATATAATAAAATTGTAACTGATCGTTGTCCGTAAATGGAAGATATTTGATAAAAACTATTATCGGGGGTCTTTTTTAACAAAATAGAACCTAAAACAATGACTTAATTTTTTTTTGTCTGTTTGGCTGTGCGTTTGTACGCGCTATTCTCAGAACGGCTTAACCGATTTGAGTGCGGTTTTCATTAATATATTGTGGTAAGCTTTACTTAACATTAGTATTTGTTTTATTTCAATCGGGTCTTAAATAAAAAAGTTGTGTCGATTTAAAAAACCATCTGGGACGAAGCAAGGGTGAGTTGCTAGTTGTACCCAAATGTGAACGTTTGTATTAAGTAGTTTGTATATAACACGCGTAAACTGTTAAACTAATTTAGATGCAAGAACATGGCACACAAACAGACCATGCCCTCGACTTGAGTATAAAAGGATTTCTTTCTTTTATCCAAGAAATTCTTTCCCGCGGGCAAATTTTTTTAGCTTTAAGGCGCTTTTTTCCAGAATTTAGGATATTTTGAACCATTATAAAACCACGAATATAATACATATAGTTCTAAAATTCATACATGTTATAGCTAAGTAGCCGGAGAGGCCAAAACACGATTGGAAATAGTTCACTCGATAGAAAAAAAATCAAAGATAGGTCTAAAAAATACCTTAAAATCTCTGATACAGACAAAATACATTATTATATGATATGAAAGTTATACTCATAGATTTAGCTTGTCATTATCTAGGTATTCGGAGAAACAGATTTTCATTTATTAACTTATATTTATGGCAATAGGCGAAAAACAGATAAAATGAAACGCGCTGGCGCCTAGGGAGCGGCGCCAGCGCGCGACGACCCGTATATTGGTTCAAAATATCCTAAATTCTGGAAAGGAGCGCCTTAACGTCATTTTAAAGACATTTTAGTTCTCAAATAACTACTACTTATATATGTATAAGTACCTAAAGGGAGAAGTGAAATAGCAAGTACGTAAAATATGGGCCGGAAAATAAAGTTCAATATACTTATTTATAATTAATTTCAAAGGAATTATTTCAATAAAGACTAAATATTATGTATATAAGGCAATACTTTTAACATTTTCAAATCAGTTTATATGTTTATTGTGTTTATACATATAATAAAATCGAATCTGTACATTGAATATTTTTTGGAAAATCTTATTAAAATAGTTATTATTATCGTCCCAGAGGCCGAACCTATAGTTTTTGGAATTTTTGTCTGTCTGTCTGTGACTGCATCACAAGAAAACCACTGGACAGATTTTGATGACATTTGGTATGTTGATAGCTGGGTATCCGGGTGAGAACATATAGGTTACTTTTTACCGTGGGAAAATATCTATCTTCACGCAGTAAAAAAAAACTATTATAAAGAATATCTATCAAATAATAATTATCGTAAGTAATAAATTCTGCGTAAATGAGGTAATTAATTTATTGTGGTCAACTATGAGATGGTCTTACTCGAAAAACAACATCTGTCAATAAAATTTACCTCCTCCATGACGTACAATTATTATAAACGCTTAGTGTAGGATATATATTGATAAAATAATAAGTTATGTTTTATCTTTTTGTCAAAAGAATTTATCAAACACTGGGAATTCCAGGGATAGGTCAGTTCAAATTTACAAAATCTTCATTTTTATAAAGTTGGTATAGATATTGAGCAGCCAAATTCTCTTAACAAAAATATTTGAAAGAATATAATAATTTTTACCCGACCGTGGTACATATTATGTTCAATCCTTTGTTTCCTCGGAATTACTAAACGGCCCAACTAATTTTGATGATTCATACGTCGTTAGATTCTTCTTGAAAACGCAAGTGTTCTAGAGTATATGGATATTATTAAAAATTAAAATGTCGGATTTAAGGTACCTATTTGTGTGTCTATAATTTTTTTTTCTCGTCTTTCAAATTACAAGTTCTAAGAGACGATTACAAAAATATATACGACTTATATGTTTAAAAATAATTTAGGATAATAAATGCTCAGTAGTGCCCGGCAATCCAGTCGGGCGCGAAGCCAAGAAACGCACAGGGAGGTGGCCCACCTCCGTGGCCGGTGTGCTATGCGAGTTGCTCCTGGTACTTCTCTGGTAGCAGAGTGGACCGTGGAGCAACCCCGTGGTTGTTGTGGTTTGCTTCAGCAGAGCTGCCGTCGGGGCGTCGCTGCTACGCCCCATTAAGAGGGGGGAGGTTCCGTTGGGTTTTAGTGGGTAGTACTGGCTTTGCCGGTGAGTCCCATACTTCGTGTCTAAACGCATTTTCTAACGTTAAAAAAAGGCTATCGTAATGAAAGTCCTATGGTTTTGCTTCTAGATACTTAAAGCTAGTTATTCTGGTTACATATAAATCAACTAAGCGGGCAAAGCCGGGCAATTATTATAAAAAGATGAAGTTAAAAATATTTTACAATTCCTTCATCTAAATTAATTTATAAATTTCGATGTCCGATAAATATTATTACTGATATATAACGTAACGTTTTCCTATTCAACTTTGATTGGTTCCTCTAAGTTGTGACACATCAATAAATATTCTGAGTTTCATGAATTTTGTGATATAGTGGGGTTCTTTCAAATTAAAACAACAATAATTTTTCCTATAAAATATTCCTATATTGAATAGGCATTCCTTTTCCTTATTTGTTTCTGACAGGTTTAGCCAAAGAAGGAATTATTTATTGGAGTGATATATGTGTCTCGATATCTTTGTCGATTGTGAACGATTTTTTTAATGATTCGATTATCAGTCATCTATACTAATATTATAAAGAGGTAAAGTTTGTGATCTTGTGAGTTTGTGAGTTTGTGGGTTTGTAAGTTTGTGACGTTGTAGGAGGTAATCTCTAGATCTACTGAACCGATTTTCAAAATTCTTTTATCAACAGAAAGCCACGTTCTTTCTGAGTGTCATAGGCTATATATTAACCCAAAAAATGAAAAGGCTTTTTCGTGGTAGTCGGATTTGCAAAGTAAGTCGGAGAAAAAACGGTCGAACGAAAACCGTTTCTTACGAACGCTGCCTTAACGATGAGAGATATATGATTATGTTCTAGAGAAAAGTTGTAGAGCTTAATAATGTCTATAAAAAAGTCAGCGACAGCATATGTCTAACTTTTATATTTAAGTCACAAAAAGTAGTTTTTTATATTAAAAAAATAATTTAAATCAGTAGGTCATGTTTATTGGTCATATTATCAACAATTATGAATTCTTATCAAAATAAGTAAATTTATCGTCTAAAATGTTTAAAACAAAAGACATTTCCCTTTTACTGCATATAATTTGGACAAATGGTTAAAGAGATAATACAACATATTCGTAGGTATGGATGAACCCGAGCGAGCTGTTTGTCTGTTTTCCTGTTTGTACGGGCTAATCTTCGAATCTATTGGACCGATTTAAATGAAATTTAGCATGATGGTACCTTATATCCCCGGGGAACATCTTAGATACTTTTCATCTCGGAAAATTAAAAAGTTTCCGGCGGATAGTTAAAAAACTATAACAACTTATACAGCTTAGTACACAAAAACTACTGATTGGGTTTTGATGAAACTTTACAATAATATATTTCATACATCAGAATAAGAAATAGGTTACTTTTTATCCCGGAAAAATGTACTGTTCCCGTGGGATAGATGTTTTTGTTTATTTGTAAGGTTTTATGTACACAACATAGGCCCCAAAACAATAGTTATTAAAAAGATTGTCTGTTTGTCTGCTTGCCTGTATGTCTGTTTGTCTGTTTTAGCGTAAGCGTTTCACGCAAAAAGTAATGTACCGATTTCAACGAAATTTGGTAAAGTGATAACTTATTACTCGAGTCAACATTTAGGATACATTTTTAACGTCCCACTGCTGGGCACGAGCCTCCCTTCAGTACGAGGGGGATCAGCCCATAGGCTACGCTGGCCAAGTGCAGGTTGGCGGACTTTACATGTCTTTTGAAAACTTGCTAGGTTCTCTCAGACATGCATGTTTCCTCACGATGTTTTACTTCACCATTAAGACAAGTGGTTATTGTGTTAGAAATGATTTGCACATGAAAATATCAGAGGTGCGATATCCGGGATTTGAACTTGCTTCACTCGGTTTCCCAAGCGAGCGCGTTACCACTGGGATACCACTGCCTAGATACCTTTTACTTCAAGAAAATCTTTCTTTCCTACGGGAAAATACAATAACTGGTTTTATCGAGTCCTCCCTAGAAACCTTCCGCTGGCTATCCCTTAAGACATACATACATTAAAACCATTAAAACAATATACTAAAAAATTGTAGGTCTTGAAAAGTCCTACAGAAAAGTCCTGAATTGTATATGTCTATCTCCTAAGTTACACTCGCAATATTTATTCTTATCTATACATATAATGAAACTAACTTAGTCAAATCGATGTGCGCATTTCACGCAAAAAGTACTCTACCGATTTTAATTAAAGTTTTTTTTTAATTTTGTTTCTCTGTCTGTTTGCCTTTTTGTACGGGCTAATTTCCGAAACTATTGAACCAATTTAAATGAAATTTTGCATGGTAGTACCTTATATGCCCGGTCAACATCTAAGATACTTTTCATTCCAGAAAATTAAAGAGTTTCCGTGGGATAATTAAAAAACTATAGTAACTTATATAGCTTAGTACACAACAACTTATGCACCTAATTTAGTAAAATTTGACATGCTGATACCTCATATTGCCGGTCAAACAACAGGTTACTTTTCATCCCGGAAAAATAAACGGTTCCCGTGGGCTAGATCTGTTTGTGCTTTTCTAGAGGTGAATCCGAGCGAAGCGAGGGTGAGGCGCTAGTTCGTTAATAAATAGTTTTTTTTTTATATGGCTTATAGTTGCGTTAACAGACGCAGTCCATTCTGCCAGTGTCACGTTTTGTGAGGAAGACACGAATGAGATTGAGCGGTAATTTTGAAATTTGGTAACTTTATTGTGGAATTAAAAAATAGATATTTTAAAAATTGTATACAAATGACAGATTTAATCGTTATGTCATAGAATCGTAAAATGTCTCTATTCTCCACAGATTGTAGAATTACATCTTCTATAATCTTCCTAATCTTAGACATGATGATAACGTCAAATTAAAAAAAAAACATGGAAATATACCTAGGCTTTTATTAGGTACACACTATGCAGCCTAAATATTATAATATTCTCATGTATTTTTTTTGTGATTTTATTTAGCGACATACTTTTTTTCATTTATTTGTATTTAACTTCGTATTATTTTGACTGATACTCGTAGCTACAACTGAACGGGAATCGAACTGACGAATGGTCGCAAAGTAACAATGACACAGAAATCACATTATTATATGTAATTTTATACTTACTTCTGATAATACATTGTTCATTCCATAATCCGTTGCAATGAATGCTTGGCTCTTAAAAGTAATGTTTGAAAGTTCTTCTTCCATTAACATTTCTTCAAATCGTCCTGGCACGAGATAGAATAAGTCACAAACTGATCTATTTATTTTCTGTTCAAGATTATTTTCATTATAAACTGGTATACTTGAAAAGTCATAAAATTTTGTATAAAAGTCCGTATCAAAATCTTCACACGCTGAGTTAAAATTGATATATTGGTTTTTTTGGCAACACTTTCGTATACATTTTTTTACAGCACAAACGGTGTTGATTTGTTCACCTTCTAACACTAAACTATTATAAACAGGGCTACCAGAACTAAATGAAATGACATATAAAATAAATAAAATAATCACAACTAATATTTTCATTGTTACAACAAACATGTTTGCTTGTGACCGTTACGAGTGGATCTTAAGTAATAACGTTTGCGGTTATGCGTGCGCCTGTTCACATAGTGTTCATAAATAGAGCAATCTTGGTTCGTTGTTTAAAAGCAACGAATAAGTTGCTGTATAAGGTAAATATATGTAGAATTGTTTATCTATATATAATGTATATATGTATATATGTATGTACTGCCTCGTTGGTTTACTAGTTAGGATACACGGCTGCATATTGAGAGGTCGTGGACCCAGGTCGAGTATAAAATATAGTTTGTCACGAAAATATTAATACCCTATCCCCTTGCTTCGTAAATAAAGCTGTCGTTATTTCTCATCGGTCATGTCGAGTTATTGTCCTATGGGAATGTGAAAATTGAAGGAATAGAGGTATACACTTGTATCTGCGCAGGACTGCAAAAACTCGTCTTTCATACTATTTCTTTAATGTTATTTTTAATGAAAGGACAAAAATTTACAAACACTTTAATTTGAAAATTGTTTTGGCCAGCAAAATAGCCTATTTGTTATTCTGATGTACGAACTGTATTATTGAAAAATTTTGTACAGACATTCGACTTCTACATTTTATTATATATCTATAGATAATATACATGTGTTCAGCCTTTTTTATTTCAATCGTTTAAACGCAGGTGAACTTTCTTTTTTTTATGGTGGGAAATGCATTTACGCATACCACCGGTATATGTACGTACAGGTGGTTATGTGGGACTCAGCGGCTAGAAAAGTCAGTCTTACTCACTAAACCCAACAAAATCTCCCCCATCTTAATGGGGCGTCGTGGATCGCTTGCGCACTCAACCACGAAGCTCCACGAAGATGATAGGTCTGCTGAAGAAGACCACAACAACCATAGGGTTCCTCCAACAGTCCACTCTGCTATCAGAGAAGTAATATAAATAAATAAATATAAATAAATAAATATAAATATGTATGTCTCACAAGATATTTTCTTGCATATTTTTATTGCCTCAAGGAAAAGGATTAAAAAGCAAAGGTAAGCATAAATAATATGTACATTAGACTTTAAATAAAATCGATAAAACTGAGCCACTTGGATGAGCAAATTAAAAATTTGCAACTTGGAATAGCCAAACTCAAATCTGGATCCGATAACTGTAAATAATACTTCATGAATCTAGATCTGATCTTCTGTTAGATGACCTGAAATAAATAGGTACGTTGCGGGAGAAGGATAGCACTCCCGATCAATACACGGAGGGCAAGTACCTCGCAAAAGGACTGCATAGCTCATGTGTTTTATTTATTCCATAATAATATTATAAATGTGAAAGTGTGTTTGTTTCTTTGTCTTTCTTTCACGTCGAAACGAAGTGACGGATCGGCGTGAGTTTTTGTGTTAAGATGGTTGGAGGGCTGGAGAGTGACATAGGCTACTTTTTACAGCGGGAAATAATCTAATTCCCACAGGAAAATACGTTATGATACAACCCAAAAAAATATTTTTTTTGTAGAATTACTTGAAATGCCACATTTATGCTCTTTAATACAATTAAATAAACACGTGTTTTAGCATTTTTCGAAATTCATACCATAAGGGGGTAAAATAGTGGATGAAAGTTTGTACGACACCTACTTTTTTAGATTTTTTTGTAGTTTTAGCGCGAGCGAAGCCGTGGGTTCTGCTTACTAGCAGAACTTACTACTAGCTACTGCTAGCAGACTTACTAGTCACATTTTCAACCGACTTCAAAAAGGAGGAGGTTCTCAATTCGACTGTATGTTTTTTTTATGTTTGTTACCTCAGAACTCCGTCATTTATTAACCGATTTGGACAATTTTTGTTTTGTTTGAAAGGGTATACTTCCAGATTGGTCCCATTTAAATTAAAAAAAAAATACCACCCCTAAGGGTGGAAAAACAACTAATGATGAATTTAACCAACTTCTAATTGTCATATTGACTTGAAACTTTGCAAGTATTTCTATTTCCGTTGATAGTACAGTGGTTCGGTGTTATTGACCTGATCTGATGGCAAGGCCAGAAGGTGGATAGGTGGAACTCTTCAACGGCTAATAGTACATACTTTGAGTTTGGGCTTATTTTGTTTGATTTGACAAGCCTAACACGTTAGAATCCTTACTTTGCTACTACTGTCTTCACTAAAAAGGGAAAAATAAAAACTTTTTAACAGAAAAATAAAAATCGACTTCAAAGAAAAACACTAAAAAGTAAAAAATAACTGATTGGTAGTTTTCATTTACTATACATACCTAATCAAATATTTTCGAAGTCGGTGTGCTTTGGCTAAGGGTTGATTAAAGCCTACCTATTAAATACATACCTAATCAAATATTTTCGAAATCGGTGCCAGCCCATACAAAGCAAAGCACACCGACTTCGAAAATATTTGATTAAGTATGTATAGTAAATGAAAACTACCAATCAGTTATTTTTTACTTTTTAGTGCTTTTCTTTGAAGTCGGTTTTTATTTTTTTGTTATAAAGTTTTTATTAATACTTAGGTTTACGCGAGTATTTGACATTTTCAATAAAACTATATTTTCGGATTATTTCGCAGATTTCTTTTGATTTTTGGTTCCCGACGTTTCGAATACTTTACTGCAATCATGGTCACGGGAGAGACAGGTTATAGACGTCTCAAAGGCGTTATATACTTGTACACTTAGTGCCTACGCCGTCGTTTAACAGTGCGTTTCTTGGCTTAACGCCCGGCTGTATTTCTGGGCACTACTGAGCCCACCCACCACGATAAGGTGTACATATATAAAAACATATTTACACTCGTATCCCAGTGTATGTCGGTAACAGGTGGTATGGGTGTTCGAACACAACCTCAACTTTGAGTTAAAATAAATTGTTGCAATATTCCCCTAATTATGTATATTGGCAAGCGACTGCGGCGTCCATTAAGGCGGAGGGGAGGGGAATTGCGCCTAAAATGAAAAAAACCTAGCCGGTAAAGAAAAGTAATAGTAGATAAAGTAAAAAGTAAATATTGGTTGAGTCTGATTCCGAAGAATCCAAAAATTGCTGTTACGTTAGAGTCAATTGACGTTTGTAGGGTTGATGTGATCAGTCATTTATCGTAGTCATTATTACAAATAAAAAATAAAACTATAGTAGCAACTGCAAGTGTTTATCTTAAATTGACCCTAATATGTCCAAAGTACAATTGATACGGTCCAAGGTACATCGGGTATGTTGTACCTTAGACAGTTTTATTTTGTATTAGGGTTCTGTACCCAAAGGGTAAAACGGGACCCTATTACTAAGACTCCGCTGTCCGTCTGTCTGTCTGTATCTCATGAGCCGTGATAATTAGACAGTTGAAATTTTCACAGATGATGTATTTCTGTTGCCGCTATAACAAAAAATACAAAAAAAAAAACAGAATAAAATAAATATTTAAGCGGGCTCCCATACAACAAAGATGATTTTTTCCTTGTTTTGCTCGTTTTTGCTTGATATTGATAACGGCAACAGGTATCCGCTTGAAATATTCACAGAATATTTTATATATTTAGTTATATATTCACTTTAAAAATAAACAATTAAGTGAAAATAAAACAAATATTAAAGGGGGGTTCCCATACAACAAACGTATTTTTTTTGCCGTTTTACTATCCCTTCGTGTATGAGTTCGACGCGCACTTGTTCGGTTTTTTAAATGGCTTTTGTTCCTCATAAATATGATCCACAGATTTTATTAATGTATTATATAGTTAAATAATTGTTCTCTCCATATATGCATATTTTATACGTCTAATTATTTACTATTTAATTAAAGACTAAAATGTAAAATACTGGCTTAGGTACAACAGGTTTCCCTATATGCCTAATAGGTAATGTGTAGAGTTGATGTAAGTTGATTATTATATAGTTTTTTTGATATTAAATGGAAATAAAGCATTGCAAAAGGTACTTGTGATATTTATCGCCACTTGTACTTCCGATTACTAACGTATGTATGTATATACGAGTAGATTATTGTAATCAATAATTATCAAATAGGCCACAATTAAGTAGTCATATGGCTTAGTTCCTTACTTTTGCTATAGAAATTTCTTCGTGACATTTTAACTCAATATATAATAATACCTATAAAAATGATTAAGATAATATTTGGTGTACTAGTTTAAGTCAATCTTTAATAAATAAATAAGAAATTTAACAGACGTATAGACGTATGTAAGTTGAAAATAACGTTATATTGTTAATATCTAATATTTATATTTTGCATGAAATGGTTCGTCTCAGCCTAAATTCGTCCAATGCTGGACATGGGCTTCTCCCAATAATTAATAATAAACAGTTATAGCTATACATATATTTAAATTAGTATAAGATGATGTTCTCCTGGCAGATTCCGGCCACGGCGGCTAATCTCATTGAGACTAGCCAATTGCGCAGGAGATATTAAAGTACAGAAGTGTACGCGCAGCGCAGATCATAAAATACTATACTAGACGCGCAGACACAACGTGCACTCTCTGTTCCTGTCATTCTCATACTCTGGTGGGACCGACGGCTTGACGTGCTCTCCGAGGCACGGGGGTGAAACACCGCCAACTTCCCAACTCCAAGCTATTACTGAGGTTTACTATACAGAAAGACTCAGTAACTAAACTTGGTCCGATCCGGGACTCGAACCCAGGACCTCCGGATATGCAGCCGTACAGGCTAGCCACTACACCACCGAGGCAGTTAATTAGTATATAAAAAGTAAGTGAGTAGTAATGGCAAATAGGAACAAATTATAAACATTTTTACTTTGAAAATATGCTTTAATAAATTGCTTAAAATACACTCTACACTATACAATATACATACGTATGTTACCTATACATTTTGCCGGACTATCTTAAGTCATCTATATATATTAAACCCTGACCCATAAAGGGAAATCAATAATGATGATGTCATTCTGATTTTAGGACACGGCATTCAATCTCATTGAGGTTAGCCATCTGCGCAGGAGATAATATAGTGCATAAGTATGTACGCAGACACAAGTGCGCTCTATGTTTCTGTCACTCTCACACTCCGACGGCAATTTGACACGACCAGTGAGAGATGGTTGTACGTGCTCTCTGAGGTACTGGGGTTCTAATATCGCAAAGTTCCCAAATGCAGGCTGTTACTGAAAATTTTTAGAAGAAAAAATTCAATTGAACTTGGTGAACTTTTGGAAAGATTGAAAGGAAAATCATATAGGAAGTACATATTTTTTATTTTTTATAATACTTACCTACTTTTCTATATTATATATTGTACCTACCTAGAAACGAAACTGAGCGAAGCGAGGGTGATTTGCTACTATTTTATAAGGTAAGTGGCAATATTAATAAAAAAACGAAATATTTTATCATCATAATTCATACTTTATTAATTTTCAGGTACCTGTTGTTTAAAAATTTCATTAATATTCGGACATATAAAATAAGTATCATGACATTTTGTATAATATTTACATCTTCGATCAACAATACTACTAGATAACGTATTACATACAAAATCAAAGCTAAGTTCTGTCCGCGCGAATATGCACTTCACACTTTACTTCACTTCACTTATACAGCTTCATTTGTGTACTAACGAACCAAGACAAAGTCTTATAATAGTTTTATTTTCGACCTAATCAACACCATAGCGCTTTGTAATAAAGTCACAAATCTTCAAATTATCATCACACACGATCATTTCGGAAGTTTTATAATCTTTATTTTAAAATCAACCTTATATTTAAAAAACGTAAAGCACTTTTTCCCGCTGTTGCTTTGTGAGCTAAATCGTTACGTTTTGTTTCTATTTGCTTCATTGAATTTGCGCTTGTGTTGGCCGACCTGGGCCAACGTTCTTAGCGGATTTAACATTGTTCAAAATTTCATTTTTATATTATTTCTTAGGTTAAATCTTAAAATATTGACTTGATCTACATGTAATTACCGAAAATAAGACATTCTGTCCGAAAAACTTCTTCTTCACGCATTATTTCTGCAACTTTTAAATACACATTGCGGCACTGTGAACGTGCTTACGCTGGCAGTGTTTCAATAGAAGTAATCGAAATATATGCTCACTTTACAAATGAGCTGATATTTACCGAGACGGATTTCTTACGCGCGCCGATCCGATATCTAGTAGTATTGTTGATCGAAGATTTTCATGGAAAAGTAATGGTAACAATATGTCAAGAGGCAATCATTGAGATATCACTGATAAACTAAAGTACATAGTTATGATTAATATACAAGTATTGTTGTTTTCAAATGTCTAAAGCTCTACTATGTATAAAATTATATTACAATGAGTTCGTAATCTTTAAACTGTTAACACATATAAACAATTCGACTTCAATCTTTGCTTAGTTAATAATTTAAAATCAATTGGTTCAGTAAACCTTTAAATTTAAATAAAATCTAAACCTTGAGCTATAAATCACTGGACAATACAAATAGGCCGTAGATTTATGCTTTTAAAGCTAAAATAACCACCAAAAAAGCTGCACTTCGAAGCTGCGATGTTGTAATTTTGACGTATTCGAGTATTTTTATATAAGACTAGCTTTGCCTGCGGGTCCGCCCACGTTCAGATGACCAAAGACCAAATTCTTACGTTTTACATATTAGTATACTCTCAATATCTATTCATATCTAAACCTATAATAAAACTAACTTAGTCAAATCGATGTGCGCGTTTCGCGCAAAAAGTACTGAACCGATTTTAACTAAATTTTGTATAGTGATAACTTAGTACTCGGGTCAACATTTAGGATACCTTTTACGACAGGCAAATTATTCATTCCCACGGGAAAACACAATAACTGGTTCTATCGAATTGTCCTTAGAAATTTAAATGGCTAACGCTGGCTCAACCTTAAGAGATAGATCAAAACGTTGTGCAATAAATTGTTGTCTTAAAAAGGTCGATAGAAAAGTTCTCAATAGTATATGTCTATCTCCCAAGGTACACTCGCTATAACTATTTTCATTATTATATATTACTGTTTTATTATACGTTATTTATTCTATCTATAAATATAATAAAACTGTAGAGGTCGAATGTCTGTACATAGAAAAAAATGCTAAAAACCGAGTCAGTTATCTTCTTACATCCCGTAAGAAGAAAAATAGAACAAATCCAGATTTTTTTCAATTTTTTTGTTTCTCTGTCTGTTGGTCTGTTTGTACGGGATAATCTCCTAAACTATTGGACCGATTAAAATGGTCGTACCTTATATCCTCGGTCAACATGTAAGATACTTTTCATTCCGGAAAATAAAAGTTCCCGTGGGATAGTTAAAGAACTATAGTAACTTATACGGCTTAGTACACAACAACTTATGCACCTAATTTAGTAAAATTTGGCATGCTGAAACCTTATGTTGCCGGTCAAATAACAGGTTACTTTTCATCCCGGAAAAATGAACGTTTTCCGTGGGATAGATCTGTTTTTGTTTGTTTGTAACGTAAAATATAGACTCCAAAACAATAATTATTAAAAAAATTGTCTGTTTGTCTGATATTGTTATAAATATATATACAAGAATTGTTTGTTTAAATATATTAGATATCCTACATCTTAAAAACAACAAAACGTATCTTGCCATCATAAATAACTAAAACGATTGCTTACATAACTATATAGTGAACTAACCAGGTTTCACCAATAAAGTTAAATACGTGTTATATTAAATTAATATAACACGTATTTAACTGTACTTTGGTTTATGTATCTGGAATATTTTACAGAATAATATACTTCCTTGAAATTCTGACATTATTTGAAAAACATTACTGAGTATACATAGTTTACATTATGACGTAACAGCAATGCAAATATAACACCCACTATACATGTCTACTTCTATATAACCACGACATATATATGAAAACGTATACTTGTACAAAGAATACTACTAAACATGTATACATAAAACCTCAGTGCCCAATGGCAGTGGCCCATTATAACCTGCAAATACTGAAAATTCAGTTTCGATTTCTGTGTTAGGCATTTTAATCTTAAGGCCTAAGCATATCTATACAAAACTATAATCTATTCGACAGATATTAGTCAAACCATGCTTTACACTCATGTTATCATTTCTTCCTTGAAAAGGATAAATAGTACTGTATAATAACAAAATAAGGGAAATAACATATTCAATATGAACCCCAATAAGCATTGTTGCTATAATATAATATTTCAGGCATTCTATAATTACAATAAATATTAAAATGTAGAGACAACTATATCTTAAATTTACTTTAATATGGATTAATGAGTATTATTCCTATATCATTAATATCCTGGTAACGTCTAGACACGTGTTATTTTCACACTTGTTGTCATAGTCCGGGTAGATGATTGACTTCTAACTACTGGCTTGCCTAGGAATTGTGCGTATCTAAAAGGAAACAACAGGTCATTACTCATAAACCACAAACTGTGCTCTATATTATAATACTGTTATTATTAACAAGCTTAAAGGATAATTATTTATATAAAAATACTTTAAATGTATAGAAATGTAATAATAAGTATATGGGAATAAATATAACAGATATAAGAGCAGGAATGAACAGGTGGATCGAATTTAAAATGCCCATATAAATTGAGAGTACCTGGGCGACCGAATTTTGAATTGGATTTTTTGCGAAAAGGACAATTTTCTTTTTAATTTGGCTTAAAAACAAAAAAAAACTAAAAACTTGAATAAATACAAAAAAAAAACAAAAGTTGAAACTTTATATCCGACCGACAAAGGGAGTGAAGGAGATTTTAGAGTATATAGAGTTGATACACCAACCTTTTTTTCATGAGCAGAAATGTTTTGCGTTTGCAAACAAAAATAAAAAAGATAAAAAACCCGATAAGAGCATTGTACGCGTCAGTGTAGACCCATATATTGTTATTTTGAGCGGCGTGAGCGCTGACCACTTCTAGTACCCAGTTAACGCCCATCACAATATAAAGCTTTATGTAGAGACATAATCTAAAATAAAAGGAATTTATTATGATTCAAATTTAGTCATAACCTGCGTATTTATAATTCTATTTGCACGCACGTATACATTCAATATATAAATAATTATAAAAGCACTTTTCTAAAGATTTGAGAAGTCCGCCAAAACGCACTTGCCCAGCGTGGTGGACTATGGCCTGATCCCCCTTGTACTGAAGGGAGGTTCATAAAGTTATTATGTTAACCAATTTTACAATTAAAGTTTTATGATTTTGACTGGAAATGCACGTTATTCCGACATAATTTAAAATATTTAGGAGAGAGCGGAACATAAACATTTCAACAGCAACATATTCCATATGTTCAATAAACTAAGACTGTTGTCAATACTCGTATTATGATTGTGTTATTTCCAAATTGTTTTTACTTCACGTTACTGTTTCGAAATTATTTTTGACTACTGTGAATTTATTTGCTGCATACTTCAGATTGGACTAGTGTTTAGGGTTCCGTAACTTAAAGAGAAAAAGGGAACCCTTATAGGATCATTACATCTATATGTCTGTCTGTCTATCTGTCAAGATCTTTTTTCTCAGAAACACATGAAAGTATCAAGTTGAAGTTAATATTATATACTGCAGTCTGCAATCCCTTGGAACTGTGAAAAATGAAACTTTTAAGTCAACGCAATCAAAGGATACGGCCATTTACAACGCATATTTTGACACAAGTAAGGGAATCAAAACCTATTTATGTAATAGAATACTTCCCGTTGACTTAAAATCATGAACTTTGGTAAAAAACAACATCTTATAGCACAAGTAAAGGTGTTTCCTTATCCGACTTATCATCACAAAAAAAATTGTAAGTATAGATTTATGTTTCATGCTACTAAACCCTCGATGTGCGAGTCGGACTCGCACTTGTCTGATTTTTTAATACTGCGTTGGATAGATCACACGACCCCTCTATCGTCGGCGATGTTGCCTCAACATCTAGTATGGTAACCATTTTATTAAAACTAACCTTCCTCGTTCTTTATTCTGCACGTCATGTGTAACGCTGTCTTTAGAATTCAATACCGATGTTTGTCGCTTAATTTCTCGAATCTTTACGATTGTCAAAATGAAGAATGTCGTATCAGCAAGCCAAAGGATAAGAATTGGTATATAAAGATATAGAAACCTATTATTACCTGTAGAAGAAGAACAAAATAATTATTCTTTAACTATACTAAAAGTTTCAGAAGTTTTTTCCTTATCTATACATATAATAAAATGGTAACTAAGTCGAATCTGTACATTAAATATTTTTTTGGAAAATCTAATTAAAATAGACATTATTATCGATACAGAGTCCGAATATATAGTTTTTAGAATTTTTGTCTGTCTGTCTGTTACCGCATCACGAGAAAACCGCTGGAGAGATTTTGATGAAATTTAGTATGATGATAGCTGGATAACCGGGTCAACACATAGGCTACTTTTTACCGCGGCAGATTATCTAATTGCCACGGGAAAACACGTTATAATACAATCCAAAAAAATATTTATGATCAGAATTACTTGAAACTTGGTATTAATGCTCTTCAATAAAATTAATTAAATACGTGTTTTAGAATTTTTCGAAATTGTGACGACACGTTTGGCTCAGTTTGTAGCGACCCTACTTGCTGTGCCAGTGGTCGCGGGTTCGAGTCCCACTGGGGGCATTCATTTGTGTGATGAGCACGAATGTTTGTACTCTAGTCATGGGTGTTTATATTTATAATATGTATGTATTTAAAGTTATAATATATGTGTACTGTATCAACTATCTGGTATCCATAACACAGGCCTCGTAGCTTACCATGGAACTAGATGGTGTTGTGTGTTAATGTCCCAACATAAAAAAAAACATCCTATAAAGGGGTAAAATAGCGGATGAAATTTTGTATGAAATCTACGTTTTTAGATATTGTTTTTTGTAGTTTTAGCGTGAGCGAAGCCGCGGGTTTTGCTAGTTTTAAATAAATAATTTATATTACTTACATAATAAAAAAATACATTTGTGTTTTAATATCAATGGTTTGTCATTAATTATTATTTGTGTCGTCATGTTTATAATCTATTGCTATATGTCGTAGAATGATTAATCAGTTTTACTGGAAAAAGATTAGATCCTACGGGCTACGACATATACAAAAGTTCTTTTAGGTTTTATTCTTCGGCTTGACTCAATGTCACTAACGACGCTACTTTTTGAAGAGATATTTTGTTACGCGTCATTAGTTTAGTCGTGCGCCTTCGTAAAACCTCTGTGGTGTTCATCTACGTGCCTTTTTTAAGCCTAAGTGCATGAACCGTAGGTGTTATAGGCGACAGGTACCGCTTTCCATCAAGTGGGCTGTCTGCTCGCTTGTCACTGAATACCATAAAAAACAAACCTGATGAGGCAGGCACGAAAAGTATGACGACGATTATATTTTAACGTTTAGCGCGGGACATATAATTTTATTTAATAATTTCTATTTAATATTTAAACATTAGGTATTCATTATTGACAATATAGCGATTAGTACAGGAAAAGTGCGTTATTGTTTTACAATTTATTAGGAATTGTGCATATATGCTTTTATATAACAATGTCATAATCACTAAACATATTTATTTCCGTTAATAATTCAGTATTAAAAACCAATAGTCTTACCGGATAAGAAACAGCTAGTTCGCTTGTTTGACATTGGATAGTATTCCAGGAGAATTAATAAAATGGTCAACATAATCGTGATACCGAATGCGTATAGAAAGTACGTGCAGAATTTGTCTCGCGCTCTTATTTTGTTCGTCATCACTCCATGTATTCCACTGAAAAAGAATAAAAAATGTATTGTAAGTTATGATTCTGTGTCATTTGTAAGAGAGAGCAAATAAAGATAAATTAGTCGGACAAGTGTGAGTCTGACTCGCAAACTGAGGGTTCCGTAGCAAAAAATTTGTGATACCACACCCTGTTATCATTAGACATCTATCATTTTAGTTACATCATAAAATTAATTTATATTTTATAGTAGGCATATAATAAATTTTTATATGTCTTACAAAAAAAACATCATATCTCGATAACTAGACTATATATATCTTGGTCGTAATTATTTTCATTAAAATCATTTCATTTATTATATTATCTTAAATTAAAATGTTTCACTGCGTAGTTTAAAAGTTATGGGGACGCAGTTACGACTTTGGAAGCATGTAAGACAATTGGTAATCATGTTGAAAAATTATTCGCACATGAAAATATCAGAGGTGCGCGACCCGGGATTTGAACCCGCTTCACTCGGTTTCCCAAGCGAACGCGTTACCTCTGCCCTACCACCACTGCCAATCATTATTTCAGCTAACAGTACTAAAATATAAGTAAAGATTTACAAACCTAAAAGTTCGCCATATATCAAAGCACATGACATTTAGCCAGAAAAATGCAGCTAGCAGAAAAAAGTACGCCACTATTGCTGGAACAAATAAAATATTGATCTATAATTTCCTTAAATTAAAATGATAAAGTATTAACTTTGTACATATAATTTGTTTTATGTCTGAAAAGCGAATACCGTATATATACACTACGTATTTATTGTGGTTCATTTTAACATAATATACACACCAAATATAGTATAATGAACCACAAAACGTGTAGGTTTATCTTGTCAAAAAGTTGTTAAACTATTATTAATAAACTAGCAGAACCCGCGGCTTCGCTCGCACTAAAAACTACAAAAATCTCTAAAAAGGTAGTTTAACACAGACTTTCATACACTATTTTACCCTCTTATAGGATGAATTTTGAAAAATGCTAAGACACGTATTTATTTAATTTTGTTAAAGAACATATAAACCAACTTTCAAGTAATTCTGATAATACATATTTTTTGGATTGTATTATAACGTGTGTTCCCGTTGGAATTAAGTAATCTCCAGCGATAAAAAGTATGTAAGTCTATGTCATTCTCCAGCCTTCGAACTATCTCCACACAAAAAATCACGCCAATCCGTCACTCCGTTTCGACGTGAAAGAAGGACAAACAAACAAACACACTTTCACATTTATAATATTAGTATGGATGATATAAAATTGTTACATGTCGTCTTTGCAGGTATAGACATGATTATTGTGCAAGCAAATAAATAATACATTAATATTAAAAACATACTTAAAATAAGCTTTTATATCATATCTTTTTTAGGTATTTATTCGTATTATTCTCAGTAAACCCTTTCATTTGATATCCATATCATTGGGGTGCATAAAAAAAACCAAGTTAGGAGTCCGCCATGTTGGATTTAAAATGACGTCACTTATCTCACCAAACATTGTCATCTAAACTAAACGTGTATCCAAAATCTCAGCTCAATCGGTTGAGAATAACTGCTTTAAAGTTCAGTTGCAATATTTGACCCGAACAAACATACATATAAACATTGCAAGTTAAATAAAAGCTTGTAAAAATATATTGGCATTTATAGCATATTGTTGTTTTCAAGAGTTTGTTGTAAATAAAAGTGTGTGGAATTAAGATAAATTTACTTATATACGAAATAGCACTTAAATACATTATATTAAAAAAGGATAACCACATAAGGATATAACGATATCTATCTATAGATTCTATACTTATAATACAATTGTATATAAGACGAATCTGTACATTAAATATTTTTTTAGAAGTTTTTAGAATTTTTGTCTGTCTGTCTGTTACCGCATCACAGAAAAACTACTGGAGATTTTGATGAAATTCGGTATAGTGATACCTGGTTATCCGGGTCAACATATAGGATACTTTTTACCGCGGGAATATGTGTCATTTCTGAGAAAAATACAAAAACTGCAATGTAAGAGTATACTAATAAGTAAAACCTAAGAATTTGGTTTTTGGTCACCTAAACGCGGGCGGAGCTGCGGGCAATGCTAGTAAATAAATAAAATCGATTATAATTAGGACGACACCGTAATTATAAAAAATACGGTGCACAAGTTACTTGATTATCCCCATTTTAAATAAAACTATCTTTACGGATTTTTTCGCGGATTTATTTGTATTTTTAGTTCCCGACGTTTCGAATGCTTTACAGCATCCATGGTCACGGGAGAGACTGAGGTGTTAGATGTCTCGAAGGTTTAGTTGTTACAGATAGCCTACCCACAATTAACAAAATGAAAATTGCACCAATTACCTTACAATATTTTCTAACTTTAAACATTTTTATAATTTTAATTAGTTTTATAATTGAATATGGAAAATTATTTATTTAATTTTTACTGTTATTATTATAATTATTACAATTTTAGAAATATTAATTAGAAATCTATATATAGTGTTGCCGTTATTATATTTATAACCATAAAGAAAAATATAAAATATACTATTAATTATTTATTACCCTCGAGACATCTAACATCTCAGTCTCTCCCGTGACCATGATTGCTGTAAAGCAATCGAAACGTCGAGAACCAAAAATCCAAATAAATCCGCGAAAAAATCCGAAAAGATAGTTTTATTTAAAATGTCAAATATTCGCGTAATTCTAAGAAAGTATTGTGGTTATCCCCATGTGATGTTGATGATGAATAAATGTAGAGTATCAGATTATAGTATGTGAATTATTAAACGAAGTTATAAAAAAATGTATCGCGATAGGTATTTATAATTTACGTACGCATTTATATTTGGACATTGAATATTATATCGACAGAGTGAGCTTGGTGGCTCTTAAAACAAAGCCAAGCTTTGATTTTGGCCGTTGAAAAGACGTAAATGTTAAGCGAAAACTCATACAAAGCGAAAAATGCTTACTTATGATTTTTATAACCATAAGTTGAATACGACAAATATTTAATAAATAAATGCTTGAAAATAAATCAAATAGTAAGAAGTTCATAATTATATTATTACATTTAAAAATTCTGAAATACTATTGTTTAATTTAATAAAAATAAATTATAAATTATGGATACTTAACTGATTTTTAGGATGATTTTATAAAAGTAATTAAAATTTCACTTCCGGCTGATGGATATAAAAAGCGTAAGGTAACCGTTGGAAGAGAGAGTTTTTGACAGACGTACATTACGCCAGAAAAGATAAGTAATCGTTGTTAAAATAATATTGAATTTATGCTGGTAAACTTATTGATCAAAATAGTGGTAAACTTATGTGTAAAAAGTAAAAAGATAAAGTTTTCCTGTGATTGGTTAAATAGTAGTGATATAAAGTGATCGTTAAAACTACATTTAATTGTTATATATGGAAATACGAAAATTGAAGTGACATTATAAAACTTATAAAGTAAAAAGTGATAATATAAAGCTTATTGCATTGGTTTACTGTGTTCTTATTTTCCTCGTCCTGAAATTATATGTTTATTTATACACTGTTTTATCACTATGGAACTAGACGGTGCTGCATGTTAATGTCCCTACGTATTTATTTAATAATCATGCACTTGCATAATTATGCAATATAAATTGCATAAGTAAAGTATTATTTTTTCCATACTTACTAAGTACATCACACATTTCTCGGCTATTTTTGTTGAAGTAAAGCAGCATCTTCATGGAGGCGATTAAAGCATATCCCACAAAAAGACATATGAGGTAGGAGATCAGTATGCGCCCATGTAGGTTGTTCAGCTCTGGTAGCCATGTGTACACCATCACCGTCATCAGGATGAATACACAGGATATTATCATACCTTTAACATATTTTTTTACTATATTAGTATATTAGAGATGGGAAATTGGCTTTGCTTTCACATACAATATACCAGCGACCTTCGCTACACTCGAGTGCGTCCCTAGGGACCTATAATATGTTACTTTAGGTCGTAGTCTATCTGCATACTAAATATTAGAATTACAAGCATTACGTCCGTAAATACAATCATCTATTGAAAAAACTCTTACTGACAAACTGACTCTATACGAGTATATAGACTAAACTGGTGAGGCTATAGGCATTAAACTTTTCTTATTAGTAAATATATTGCAGATGAGCACTAAGAAAATATTATGAAATATCTTCTATAAATGAGTTTTCGGGCATAATGCTTGTACAAATGTAGTATTAAATCAGAAAAAACTTAAATATTATACACAGGAAGGGGGGAGAGAGAGTAAAACATCAAAGTATACCTTTAAGTACATATGTATGTATTAATAAAACGTCTTGCCAATCGAACAATTACCCTTAGCCTAATAGGTATACTAATATCTTTTAAAATAATGTCTTAGATAAAAGTATTATGGCTTTATGAAAGATTTTTTCCATTCATAATTCCATCAGTCATATCTCTTTCCTAAACAACTTAATGACCGACACTCCCTGAAGTCCGTTTTGTAATGTTTAATATCGCACAAGAATCACCGTGTATGTCCATATATAGGAGAATACTTATGGAATTAAAATTAGCCTATGCTATTCTCCAACCAATAATCCATATCTCTCTGCCAATACACTATCGATTCGTACTTAAGAAGGATGAAAAAAATACATTTTCGCATTTTTACATAGATATATCTTTTATAACTTATTAAGTTTTCGCGTTCCATAATTGTATAATAATGGCACTACAGGAATAAGGTATTTTAGTGTAAGATCCCGATCTATGTGGTGGAGCCCTCACTCTTTTTCCAGGCGAAATATATTTTTTAAACCATAAAACATATTAATTATTACGACCCAGGGGGTTTGTCACTCTCCCCAACGTGCGTTCACCTTGTTGCTCAGTATTGCCCGGCAATACAGCCAGGCGTGAAGGCAAAAAACGCACTAAAAGGCAGCCCACTTCGGTGGACGGTGTGCTATGCGAGTTGCTCCTGGTACTTCTCTGATAGCATAGTGGACTGTGAAGCAACCCCATGGTTGTTATGATCTGCTTCGGTAGACCTGCCGTCGGGGTGTCGTGATTGAGTGCGTAAGAGATCCTGCGACGCCCCATTAAGACGGGGGAGGCTTTGTTGACTGTTGTGTTTTAGTGGATAGTACCGACTTTGCCGGTGAGTCTCACACCTCGTGCCTAAATGCATTTGCCAACGTTAAAAAAAAGGGTCTCCGAAAATTTGCTTCAGAATATTTTTTATTAAAAAACCTCTAGTCTAAGAATTTTTTGGTATAACAATCCTGTAAGTATCATTTTTGTAATAAAATTATCTACGTTTTGATACTTGGTTGGTTCAAAAAATTCGATCTATGGGATGGGAGCAATTAACTACTTCAACTTACCTTTTTATAATTGGATATTAGGTACCTAATGTGGATTCGAAAAGGCCGCAAACCATTATGATAGCATTTTCTACAAGTCTTTTACTTTCGATTGATATTAAGTAGTTATAGGAAAAGGTTTTATTGTGTAAAAAATATATTTCGCCTGGAAAAAGAATGAGGGGTCCATGACATATATCGGGATCTCCTGCTATTTAGCCACTTACAAATGTACGCATTTAAGTCCCATAGTGTCATTATTATATACATATGTATAACTTTTGTATTTTACTTACAGGCAGAGTTAATAATGTAGTGGTCCTGAGAAGACGGCTTAAAACATACGATAGCGTTAAAACTAGTCCATATTGCTGTTCCATTTTCAGCAACAAAGTTATCTACGCAATAGTTTTCTGGCCAAATGATCTCTCTCTGCTGATTTGTACCAATGTGTAGTTTGCCATCCTAAAAAAAATATATAATGACGTGAAGTGACTTATTCAAAAAACAAGAACTCTCAATTCGGGTCTATGTTTATTTCTATGTTGATGATATTTTTGCCAATAATTGTTAACAAATTTTAATGATCAAGACACGCGGTAGCATGTCGAGCCAAGTTCAAAAGCCAAAGGAACTTGCGACGCAGCACTGTGAGTATATATTTTACACGAACCATTTGGAAGCACTTTTCATCTGGGTAAATAACTTAAAATCTATTTAACATAAACTCATGAAATTTGGTACATTTATTAAATGCCCTTAGATTAACTAGAATCCTAAATTGAATAAATACAGCTCAAACGGTTATTAAGATATTAACGTCAAAAATCGGCATTTTTATCACTGACTGACATATAGTAGTAAGCCTAACCAAACCACTTTCAGATGACCTAGAAAGTTGAAATTTGGTGTCGAGATGGGTAATCGTGTGCGTACAAAGGAAAAAATCCAAAAATAGTAAATATTTAAAATTTTATTAAAAAATTACATTTATTTTTATCAACGCCTTGCGCCTACAAAACATATAAGCAATAGCTAGTGCCTTTTGAAATATAACAGCAATAGCAATCATAGTAATGGCAAGAACTTTTTCTTTCTCAGAAGAAAAGGTTCTAATGATGATAACATTTTCCTACTCCGCCTTACCTACTAACGCAAAATTATGAAGACAAAAAGATTGAATTTATATGTCAATTTATATGTCACACACTTTATTATATATATATATATACAACATTCTGAAATAAATTTAAAACACAACATCTTATTTATTTTTTTATATTGTAAAGCTCTATATTATATTGTATAGCTCGCTCTTCTAAAAACTTGTTTTACTGGTACTGGTAAACCAGTTAGCGATACAATAACTATTAAATATTATTTAAATGCTTTGCCATTTTATTTGTTTTGAAAAGCAAATGAAAACGTCAATATCGTTACTGAGTAAATGTTGTAAGAATTTAGAAAACGAAAATCGACTACTTGGTCCCTAGTGCCGTAAATTTAATTTGTGCCATTCTGAACTTGTTGTCCCTTTCATAGCATTTTCCCCCTACATAAGTCTTAAAGGCACATAAAATAAGAAACAATTAATTTTTTTCGTAAAGTAGACGTTAGTATTATTGAGATAATAGAGATAAAAATAAGGCTAGTCAGATATTTTTAAATAAAACTATATTTTCGGGTTTTTTCTCAAAATTATTATGATTTTTGGTTCTCGACATTTGGATTGCTTTACAACAATCATGGTCACGGGAGAGATATTTTTTATGTTTGTGTCAGCCACATTGCCATACAAGAAATATATGTGTTTTTTTAGTAACGAGTATAATATAAAACGCGGATAATATTAGACGGATTATTATTACTTCTTCAAGCTGAAAAATCTGGATGAATTTCGATGCAATTTAGTACATAAATAGATCTATTATTATTTACCCTTTTTTTTTTTTTTTTTTTTTTTAACGTTGGGAAATGCATTTACGCACGACGTGTGGGACTCACCGGCGTAATACAGCCAGTACTACCCACTAAAACCCAACAAAACCTTCCCCCGTCTTAATGGGGCGTCGCAGGATCGCTTACGCATTCAACTACGACGCCCCGACGGCAGGTCTGCCAAAGCAGACCACCACAACCATGGGGTTGCTCCACAGTCCACTCTGCTATCAGAGAAGTACCAGGAGTAACCCGCATGGTACACCGCCCCCGAAGAGGGCCACCTCCCACCGCCCACCGAAGTGGGCAACCTCCCTGTGCGTTTCTTAGCTTCGCGCCCGGTTGGATTGCCGGGCACTACTGAGCCCCCCCACCACGACAAGGTGAACGCACGTTGGGGGGGATTATTATTTACCCTGGAGTAAATAACACAAAGGCCTCGTCGCCTTACTGCTTATTTGTTCAAAAGACCAATACTTGTTGTACGGTGGAAAGCTTTTCCTCTATTTACAAAACAAAGCTTTATTCCTAAAATTCACATAAATACATTTTAATGGCGTTGTTAAACTTAAATTGTATATTTAATAAAAATAAAAATTGACATTTAAAAGTCCATAATTTCATACTGAAAACTCTTTCGGTGCCGTTTGGACAGACTAGCACTGAGACGATGCACTGTTATGCAAGTAACGGAATGAAGCAGGGGTGAGCTTATTTCGCTAGTATACCAACATGTCAATAGACTAGAGTCTGTTCTCTCACTACCATAACTTAAGATCTGACGAGGAGATGCCGGCTATATGGCTGTGATATTTTGGAGGAGACTTAGATATGTAATATTTGAAAGGTAAACATATCGGTGATGTTAAGTTGTTGAGGGTATTATTGAGTTTTAGTGGGAAACATTCGTTGCTAGTGTCATCACACGACATTGTGTCTGACATCACATCACGTGGATAAATGTACATATGTATTTCCAAAAAAGGAAAATATGGTTCTCAATATTTAGTTAAGACCTATTCACATTAGCCATTGTCTGTTAAAAATCTATTAGAATTTACAAAAAATATATATATTGTGTTACATGACTAAGCGCTTATATAAACTGGAAATCCACGAATTATTATTCTTATTTGAATCCAGAGACTACCATTTTATCAATCAGTAAGAGATTAAATTTGATTAATGGACTTTATATGTTCTTGTTGCAGCCCACATAACAGATATTTTAAGAGAAGTGTCGTCATTAATGAGGAACCAGCTGCAAAAAATGTACACATTGATAGCATTGGTTTTTATTTGTGGTGAGATGATCCCTTTTTTTTTTTTTTTTTTTTTTTTTTTTTTATACTATTCAGAATTAGTGCTTGACTACGTTCCACCTGATGGTAAGTGGTAACGCAGCCGTAGATGGTGAGTCGCACTAATTCAGTAGCCACCTATTCACTCTTGCCTTGAAGACACCCATATTATAATCGGACGGAAACACCGACGCGGGCAGGTTGTTCCAATCCTTAGCCGTACGTATAATAAATGACGTAGCGAAACGCTTCGTGCGGACGGGTGGAATGTCCACGACATAAGGATGGAGACCAGCCGTTCGTCGGGTTGTCCGATGATGGAAAGGGGATGGGGGAATTAATTCATGTAGTTCCTACGCACACTCTCCGAAATGTAACCTATAGAATACACAAAGGCTGGCAACCCTACGTCGGTGATCGAGGCTTTGTAGGTTAGCTTTTACCAGCGTAGGGTCACCTATAAGCCTTTGAGCACGCCTCTCAATCGAGTCCAAGGCTGACAGATGGCATTTCGCAGCACCAGCCCATATGTGGCTACAGTATTCCACACACGACCGGACTTGCGCTTTATATAAAACAAGAAGCTGTCCCGGCGTGAAATACTGTCGGACCTTTGCAAGGATGCCAACTTTCCTCGCAGCTACATTAGCCTTAGACTCGATGAACCGCCCGTAGTTCATGTTGGGGCTGATGTCCATCCCTAACAACTGCAGACGTTCTGTGTATTCCAAAGGCACATTCCGGAAAGTAGGAGTCAAGGTGAAAGGACTCCTTTTAGTGGTGAACAGGCACGCCTGTGTTTTGGTGGCATTGAAACTCACAAGATTGGCATCGCCCCAAGTGGAGACTGTCCTGAGTGTGAGATTCAACCGCTCTACCATGGCCTCTCTTTCGGACTGAATTTGATCTCTACTGGCCCGAGGATTCGGCAGGTATCTCTCTACAATAGTGCTGTCGTCTGCGTACCCATAGATACCGGGTATAAGCAGATCGTTGATATGCAGCAGAAACAAGGTTGCAGAGAGAACAGACCCCTGAGGAACTCCTGAGTTGGTCTTTAAGGGTTGTGATGAACAACCATCAACCACAACTCTGAGTGATCGGTCGCTCAGAAAGTCTTTAATCCAGCCGATCAGGCCAGGAGATATGCCATAGGCTGAAAGCTTATTTATAAGGCTAGCGTGCCAGACCCTGTCAAAAGCCTTTGAGACATCGAGGGAGACGGCAATCGCCTCCCCGCTTCGGTCAATAGTTTCGCCAAAGGTGTGGTTGGCATACACTAGAAGGTCCCCAGTCGACCGATTCCGGCGAAACCCATATTGTCGATCACTGAGGAGATCGTTCTGTTCTAGGTATGCCATAAGACGAGTGTTCAATACACGCTCCATAATCTTGCAGAGTATGGAGGTGATTGAGATCGGACGATAATTGGCAGGGTCAGCACGGCTTCCTTTCTTGGGCACTGGTTGCACATTGGCAAGCTTCCAGGATTTAGGCACTATTCCAGTCTTAAGAGAAAGGCGGTACAGGCGTGTCAGTATCGGAGACAACTCGGGAGCACATGTTTTAAGGACTATCGCTGGTATACCATCAGGACCACTGGCTTTATTCACATCTAGACGGCACAATACTCTCTTAACCTCCTTATTAGTAATCGCGATTTCAGGCATTGAGATCCCGCAGTGAGGTAGATGTGGTGGAGTAGCATTGCCAGAGTCTAGACACGAATTTTGGGCAAAAAGAGAGGCAAGCAAAGTCGCCTTTTCCTTTGCCGTATGAGCCAGGGATCCGTCAGATTTTACCAGCGGTGGCAGTGAGGGCCGAGAGAAGTTCGTCTCAACAGCTTTGGTAAGGGACCAAAAAGCTCTGCTGCCAGATGGTTGGGCAGAGAGCTTTGCGCCAAAATGTGTAATTCGGTCAAGACGAGCCTTCTTTAATGTCTTTTTGTGGGACTTGGCGGCTAAGTTAAAGGCTCTCTTCTTGGATCTTACATCCGGAGCTTTGCGGTCTCGAGCATCAACCCAGGCAAGGTAAGCCGATTGCTTACGCTTTTCAGCAAAGGTGCATTCGGCATTAAACCATGGGCGAGCTTTGCCACCAACGGGTACATCAGAGAACGGGATAAAATATTCCATCGCTTGATGCACCACATCAGTTATAGCATCCGCACAGCTCGACGGATTGGAAGAAGAGAAGCAGACCTGCCGCCAAGGAAAGGATGCATAAAAATGTCGCATCTCATCCCAATCTGCTGACTTGTATTGCCATACTCGTCTAACGCCAGTAGAATCGTTATCTGGTGGAGAGTAAGACGATACAGTTTTTACCAGACAGTGGTCAGAGCTACCCAATGGGGATGAAACCTGGATGTTATATCTGTCTGGATCAGTTGTCAGCAGAAGGTCCAGACAATTAGCTGAGTGGCCATCTACATCGGGTACCCTCGTCGCTTGTTCAACCAACTGGGAGAGTCCAAGTGATACCGCAAACTTCCACGCTTCTCTCCCAGCATGGTCCGTCTTCTGGTATGGGAACAGCCAATCTTCATGATGGGCGTTAAAGTCCCCCAGAAAGACAAGCTGCGCGGTGGGGTACCGTTGCATAGCCACATCAGCGGCCTCACTGAGATATTCAAACAATCGAGTTGTCTCCTGGTCACCTGTGTGCGATCGGTAGACACAGGAATACAGGATCTTTTCGATTCCTGTATCTACGATAACCCAGATCGTAGAAAATGTGTGGTCTTCAAGGTGACGGAGGCGCTGGAAACAGAGGTCATTTCGCACGTACAAACAGACCCCGGCCCGTGAGCTGAAATTATGCTCCAGCGTGTAGCCGGGATAGTCCAGGTACTCAGCACTCAATGGACATTGAATCTGCGTCTCCGTCAGAAAGAGCATGTGCGGCTGCGCAGTCTCGAGGTGGAAGTGGACTGATGAGAGATTTGTGTGCAATCCTCGGATATTTGTGAGGTGCACTTTTAATGAGGGGGAGTGCAACCGCTTAAAAACATTACTCTTTTTTCGACTTTTCATGTAATTTTTTTAATGGAAGAGTGAATAGGATGGAGAATGGCAGTTGAACGAGGCGCTGCACGAGCCTGGCGGTGATATTGATGATGTCATGTCACAGAGGGCTTAGTCTGGAGACTGCGGGGACGCCCGAACCCCCCCAAGGATCGCCATCGGGCCCCCTCCCCTGGTCGCCAACCAGCACGATGGAGCCACCCTGGGATTTTTCACAGATGGCGGGGCAGCCTTTCATGGGTGGCTAGCCCACTAGTTGGGCCCCCAACTGTCTGCGGTCGGCCAGCGGCAAGCCGTGCTTCGGATCCCGCTACCCTCCGCGACTAAGCTCTCGACACAACAAACAACAATTCACCACCAACACGGCTTGTGTACAACACAACTATTCAGACCCATTCTCCATACGGCTTCATCAGCCTCGACATGCCGGAACGCGCTGTTGGGCGCTTGGCGGCACGACTTCTGCTGACGGGTGGTAACCGTGCCGTCGGCCGATGTTGAGGCCTACCACCGCGACTACCATGGTGTTCGGTAGTTTGTCCCTTAGTCGCCTTTTACGACACCCACGGGAAGATATGGGGTGGCCATATTCTAATTGCCGTAGCCACACAGCAAAAACCCCTTACTGGCAAGCCCCTGATCTAATTCTTAGAGACTAGCGACTTCCTTAAGTGTCTAACAGTAGCTTATGTGTTCCTCCAAGTCGTGGTCTATCTGTTTACAAAATTTTATTCAAATTTATACAGCCATTTCAACGTGAAGGAGTAACAAATATACAAACATTCAAATTTTCATATTTATAAAATACTAGCATTGCCCGCGGCTCCGCCCGCGTTCAGATGACCAAAAACCAAATTCTTAGGTTTTACATAAATTAGCATACTCTTACAATGCAGTTTTGTATTTTTTCTTAGAAATGAGATATTTTCCCGCGGTAAAAAGTATCCTATATGTTGACCCGGATAACCAACTATCATTATACCAAATTTCATCAAAATCTGTCCAGTGGTTTTCTTATGATGCAGTAACAGACAGACAGGCAGACAGACAAAAATTCTAAGAACTATAGATCCGGACTCTGTATTGATAATAATGTCCATTTCAATTAGATTTTCCAAAAAATATTTAATGTACAGATTCGACTTAGTTACACTTTTATTATATGTATAGATGTAATAGCTTGATAACTATTGAGTTCAACAAAAATGTTCAATACAATTTGGTTTTTTTTCTTGTTTTTGTTATACTGATAACGTTTATGATAGGTCAGAGTGTACACATAATATGTAATTATATTATCTTTGTTGTCACATATTACATTTAAAAACAGATATTAGGGTCTAGGGACGTTTTTGATCGAACACTAAATACAAAAAAAATACAAAATCTTTTAACCTAAGCATTTAGACTTTAAATCTACTATTAGTTAAGAAGAAATGCCTGGAAAGAAGCGATACAAATAATCCCATTGATGATATTATTGATTTTAAATGCGAAAGTTTGGATGGGTGTTTGTTACACAATCATGCCAAAACGGCTGGACGAATCCGAATGAAATTTGGCACAGAGATATTAGATTATAGAGATAGTATGGAATAACTCATAGGTTACTTTTTATGCCGAAAATTGTACGGTTAGATTTGTAACGTAAATGTTTCAATCATAAAATAACATTAATTGAAAAAAAAAACTTACGTTGTCAATTCCTAATTCAATATTTTCATCGAACACCTCTCTGACGATAACACGAGCTTCCTTTGGAGGGCAAATTGGTTTTCGATTGTCGAATTGGAAACCATTTGTCATCTTCATATTATTTTCAATCATTTTTGGGACAAATGGACTTAAATTTTTCACACACGTCAAATTATCTAAATGGTATCCATATCCAATGCTACAACATTTTAATATTGTAATGCATTTTTCACCACAAGTTTCATTGTTTTTATTGTTGTACATTCCGATGTGAGAGACACTACGGTTCACAAGGGCTAAGAAAAATATTATTTTAAACATTATTATGTGTTTTTTTACTATTTTACTTTGAAGCTTCCTAAATGAATTAAAAGATGATTTCTACATGAAGTCTTATGTCACGTGATTTAAATGTGTACACTAGTACATGGATAAATTTAAACTGGCCGGAATTAGCTTCACTAAATTGAGTTAAATTTTCACATAACTTTATAATTTAATGAAATTTACATAGACACTTCATTTTTGTACTTCAAAAGTGACGTCGCTCAGGATTATAATTGGAATTTTAAAATATTTTAATATTTTTTAAACGCATCATATTATATGATGGAGCAAAAATATGACATTGTAAGTTACATCACTAAGATATAGTTTGAAAGCGACCGATATTGAAACGAGCTACACATCTTCTAACATCAAGTTGTGATCTACAACTGAGCTTCTTATAGACATAAAGGCGCCTACAAAAAGAGGAGCCGCTCGTATTTTTGGCGCCTAGTTTAGTCTTGTTTTCCACAAAACTTTTACTTCAGAAAGCTATCTTTTTAGGTAAATATCTATAATTAAATTAAATATGATAATTTATTTATTAGAAAATCTAACGTATTATCTTTATTAACGTATTTATATGTATCGTTTATAAATGACACTACAGTGTCAACTTTCAAGCACTCTCTAAGCAAGATTCGAGAATAAGAGTTAAAGAGTGTGAAATATCACAACTTCTCGCGATACTCCAAACGGGATGGGCAGAGATACCAAGCACATAAGTGTCTTTTGCATTTATTATATTATGACACGCACTCACTTCAATTTCGCTTCAGTTGTTTACTTTCTGTAAATGTGTACTGCAATATCTTATGTTTATGTCTCTCGTAGGAAAGGAAGGAAAGGAGGATTCATAAACTTCCGTTAGCCTTCATAAGAACGGCGCCGTCAATAAAAAAAATTAAATTGAAATCATCCTTTATACGGGGTAACTACTTGAGAAACTATTTTTCCAAAACTCTGAAATTTCCAAAACTATATATAAAAAAAATAAAAACCGACTTCAAACAAAAGCACTAAAAAGTAAAAAATAACTGATTGGTAGTTTTCATTTACTATACATACCTAATCGAATATTTTCGAAGTCGGTGTGCTTTGCTTTGTATGGGCTGGCACCGATTTCGAAAATATTTGATTAGGTATGTATTTAATAGGTAGGCTTTAATTACTTAGCCAAAGCACACCGACTTCGAAAATATTTGATTAGGTTTGGTAGGTAGTAAATGAAAACTACCAATCAGTTATTTTTTACTTTTTAGTGCTTTTGTTTGAAGTCGGTTTTTATTTTTTTGTTAAAAAGTTTTTTCCCCCCTTTTTAGTGTAGACAGTAGTAGCAAAGTAAGAATTCTAAAGTGTTAGGCTTGTCAAATCTAACAAAATAAGCCCAAACTCAAAGTATCTACTATTAGTCGTTGAAGAGTTCCACCTATCCACCTTCTGGCCTTACCATCAGATCAGGTCAACAATAATGAACCACTGTACTATCAACGGAAATAGAAACATAAAAAAAACAGTCGAATTGAGAACCTCCTCTTGAAGTCGGTTGATAAGCATAAATCTATATTTTCAAATCCCTATTTTGAGAAATAATGGTCTCCCCCCACAAACTTTCATCCCCTTCAAGTGTTTGTTTCGCGGTTTCGACGTGAGAAAAAAAAACAAACCAACAAATAAACAGAGTTTCTTATTTAGAATATTAGTATGGGTAGTCAAGGTTTCAGCTATGTCGCATCGTGAGTTTGGCACGATACTAAGAAATTTTATTATTAATGATTCTTGAGCCAGAACTAGGCGTGTTCGCACGAGTATAGAGCATGGACGGCACGCATCAGACCGCTAAAGCACAAAATAACTCATAAGCTCATAGCTTTAATAAACTGGTCTCCCTGAGTATGGCGATGAATATGGGACTCTAAAAAATGTATAAAATATATGCAGATTTAAAAAAAAACTATCGAAATATGCCGCACGTTTTTAATAAAGAAAATAAAAGAAAATCTGCTCATTATCTTTCAAAATATTTACATATTATTAAATAAGTAAATATGAAAACCTTTTATGAATTTTCAACGCCTACCAAACCTTACATTTTTTCTTCTTCCAGTAAACAAACCTAATTTTATTAGACATAAAAATATGTTAAACATACTCGTAAAAGAAAAAATATATATTTATCTTATTTTAAGCAATTTTTAACAGACAAAATTCTTAACAACAATCTGTATAACAGTGGTTTTTGTAGTTACGTCAGTTTTCATTCTATCTCTTATTAAAAATAAGTTAGCTAATTAGGTACAAAAATAAACTAGAGTAAACCAAGTAACCGATAGTAATTTCTTAAAATGAAGTAAGCATTATATATGACTAGCGACTCACAGTAGTCACTCACAGTAGTAGTTATAGGCAGTGGTCGCTTGGAAAACCGAGTAAAGCAGGTTCAAATTCCGGATATCGCATCTCTGATATTTTCATGTGCGAATCATTTCTAACATGATTACCACTTGTTTAACGGCGAAAGAAAACATCGTGAAGAAACTTACATGTCTGAGAGAACCTAGCAAGTTTTCGAAAGACATGTGATGTTCGCCAACCCGCACTTGGTCAGCGTGGTGGACTATGGCCTGATCCCCCTCATATTGAAGGGAGGCCCGTTCCCACCAGTGGGACGTTAAAAAGAGCTAAATACATGGCGACTCACCCTAGCTTCACTTCGGATTAGTCAACAAAAACAAGTCTATCCGAGATAAAAAGTAACTTATGTGCTATTCCAGACTATAATCTATCTCTGTACAAGATTTCATCCAGGTCCGTTCAGCCGTTCTGGCGTGAAAGAGTAACAAACATCCATCCATCCTTACAAACTTTCACATTTATGATATTAGTAAGTATGTAAGTATGACGATCGCTCAAATATTCATACAATACATAGAATATTAATTAATGTTTACTAAAGTACCTGTTATCATCCTATTAAGTATTATTAAGAAAATATGTCTATTAATCACAAGAATATCGTATATGTAATGTAATTTGTTATAAGTACTTAATTCATACATATGAGTCGACGCCGTTAAACAGTAGGTGATCAATTAATAACATATATACTGCCCACCTGAGCCTAAAGTGCAGTAATAGACATTTTGGTCGGTTTTGAGTTAAATATATATTCTAAATCCCCATTTTAGTAGCTATCAGTCAAATGAATTCTTTTTTCTGTAGCGCTAATAAAAGTATTTTATTTTAATGTTTTTAATGGAAGGTGTAACAGCAAAAATATCACAAATCTGTTAAAATATTTCATGTTTACCAGCTAAACCGCAGTAAAATTAATACTGCATAAGATTTTTCTCTGTTTCCTAACTAAACTGCAGTGTTTTATCATATTTTGTGGCACTTAAAATAGTAGTTTGTTCTAGTCAAAATAAACCTTTTTACTAAATGCATATGAAATTATATACGGTACTTATAAGAAAAACTAATTTTTAATTTTTTTTGTCTGTCTGTTTGTTCCGAATAATCTCTGAAACGGCTGGACTGTTTTTGACGGACTTTCAGTGGAAGGTAACTGATGTTATAGGGAGTAATATAGGCTACTTTTATTTAAAAAAAAGAATTAGAGTTCCGCTCAAAAAAAAGTATCCAGGGACGAACCCGAGTGAGGCGAGGGTGAGTCGCTAGTTTAAAACATAACGTCATAAAAGTAAGAAGGTGAATTAAACAAGGAAAGAAAGATTTCCGCTTTGCTGTGGCGCACTTTTCAAAATAGTTCTAGCATAGGCAAACAGCAATATAATTATATATTATTTTCAAGTAATAATAATTCAGCACACGTCACTCCGTTAAAAACTACTAACTTCACATCACATCTACTTGCTACGCTAGTGCTGTAAAGCCTAGTTCGCAATAAGCTAGTATTTTAGTCTAGTAGCGAGTAATTTAGTAGCTAAATTACTCGCTACTCACCAAAAATCGTTCGCACTTTGGTCGAGTACAGTTTACAAGTGAGTGGTGTTTTGCAAGATGAACAGCCTACAACGCAATAAAGTAAATAAACTGATTAAGCTGATCGTAACGGCTATTTTAGAAGAGGTGGATGAGGAAATTTGTGTGATTAATAAAAAGAAGCTATGGGTACGAAAATGGATCGAAAGACAAGATAAACTAGGAGCTACTAATTGTCTTCTGAAGGAATTAGCATTGGAAGATCCCAAAGAATACTTCGATAGTTTGAGAATGTCCGAAAGTTGTGTATATTTTCTGTTAATGAATGTTATGGCGGCAACTAATAAACTCGACTAATAACGCGTGGTGGGGGCTGCAATTTGCCCAAAAAAATAGAATCCCTTAATCTTCAGATTGATAACACTTGAATTCGAAACCTAATCCGAAACTCTACGTTTTAAAATAGTTTTAGAATAATTTAATGGCTTTATATTTTAACAAAATATGTTTTATTTTTTATGTTTTTGCCGTTATTATCTAAATTAATGTCATTACACTTTTTAACCGACTTCAAAAAAGAGGAGGTTGTTAATTCAGGTGTGTATATATTTTTTTATGTTCAGGCATAACTCTGTCATATACCTATAGTCGGATTTGCAAAATTCTTTTTTTGTTCAAAAGAGGTTTATTCCGAAATGGCCCCATTTAAATTTGAAAAAAAAAATCCATTTTTAAGTGTAAAAATTAGGAGATGATTGATTTTCCACCAACGGATTTTTTTAAATACTCCTTTTTTTTGCTACTACTATGTCTACACTAAAAATAAAAAATAAATAAAAACCGACTTCAAAAGAAATACT